TGTGTGTGTGTGTGTGTGTGTGTGTGTGTGTGTGTGTGTGTGTGTGTTTGTCTGCTTCTGCCTGCCTGTTTCCTTCGACCTCAACAACAGAGAGAACTGCAAGCCAGCTTTCACCCACGCTAGGCCATCAAAAAATCAAAAATGGTTTGTAATTTAGAGTGGAATTAACTCAGCAAGCAAATCCATGGAAGGAAATGTCTAGCCAAAGATGATTTTATTATTGTAGAGATCCATCCTCCCTCCCCTCCCCCATCAGGACTGAGACTAAAGAAACCAGTGTACACCAGACAAAAAGGTCTCTTTAAATGGAAAGCAATTATAAATGCTGTTTGAAATCTAAACCAAGGATGTACTCGTTTGAGTTTTGTAATCCACTAAGTTCACACTCACTAGTTAATCTTTTTGTTTTGTTTTGTTTTGTTTTAAAAATTGCTTTAGAGAAGGCTATTTCAAGATTCGTACAAAACTACTTTCTCAGATCCACCTTAAAATAGCAGCACACACTGAAACATTTAAAGCACCAGTTTCTCAAGGGCACATTCTGCTTAAATCAATCTCTGAAGTCTGTAATCAAAAAAATAAAATAAAAATGTAAGCAAACCTTGGAAAAGAGACAGAGGATAATGACAATTCAACAATGAATCATTTTGTTTTTCCTTTCAACAACTTCTCAAACAGTTTCAAAGGAAACCTGCAATACTCCCTCAACACAACACACTCACCCCATTCTACATAAAACTACCTTCTTCCCATAACCTTAAAAAAATAAAGAAGGCACCCTCTTTCAGACAGCCGAACTTAAATCATGACAGAATTCTACGCTGCTGCAAGTGGTATTTGGTTCCATAATTTTGGAATCACAGAGCTGAGCAGAGAATACAAAGGAGGAAATCTTCCTCCTAATGTGAAAATGACTTTAATGAGTCAGTTCCAAGACCCCCACATTCACAAACATCCAAGAAATGTACAGTTTCAGGCCCTTCCTCCCACAGTTGAGCTGCTTGGCTCGTGGCTTGCAATAGTTTAAACCTCAGACTAGTTCGAGAGCGTGCCTGAGAAGCCAAGAGAGAGCAGGGGTCAGGAGGCACGTAGGACAGTCACCTGGCCCGCACAGAGCCAAAGCCTGCGTCCGACGCACGCTTCCCCGAGGGCTCGCCTCCACTCGCGGCCCTTGCTTTCCGCCCCAGCTTCCACGGCCGAGCCCCTCGGCCCGCCCAGAGCAGCGCGATCCTGGAAGGAGGGGACGAGGACGGCAGCCCGCGGCGCAGCGCGGACAACTCGGACACTTACCTTCCCCTCGAGCGCTACACCATCAATGGGAGGGGTGGCGGCCCGGCTCCGGGGAAAGTGCAGGGACGGGGCGGGAGGCCGCGGGGGCCGGCGGCGGACCGAGGGCGGCGGGCGCGGGGCCGAGGGGGCCGGCCCGCGGGGTCGCGACGCCGGGGGCTGCGGGGCTTCCCTGCCGGGACTTGGACCTCCTCCTCCTCGGGTGGGCCAAGCCTTCAGCAGTGGGAGCCCAGGACCATGTCTGGTTTCGTGGGTTTTTTTTTCCCCCGGAGGGCGAGGGGCTCCCACGGGAGGATGGTGGGTTTTTTCTCCTTCCCCTCAGGTAGCAGAGGAAACCAGGCGGAGACGAGGTGGGGAGCGCGTGAGGGACGAGGCGCGGGGAAGGAGGCGGGGACGAGGCCCGGCGGGGCAAGAGGCTGCGGAGCGCGGGGGGCGGCTCGCGAGCGTCTGTGGGAGCAGCGGCACCTCCGCGATGGTGGCGGCGCCGCGGGCTGCTGCGCCGACCCGCCGCCCACTCCGCGCCCGGGCCCGGCCCACCTCGCAGTATCGCGCCTCGCCATTGGTGAGCCCGGGCGTGACGCGGGCGGGGGGCGGGCCAATGAGGAGCGGAAGGCGGGCCGGGGGCGGGAGCGTTGGCTCGGGCCCTCTTCCATTTTCTCTTTTTTCCTCTTTTTCTTTTCTTTTTTTTATTTCTTTTTTTTTTTTTTTCTTTTCCTTTTTAATAAAATGAGCAGAAGGGACGGCCAGGGGAGAGGCCAAGCTTTGGTGCGCGCTCCGGGCGGCGGCCCGCCCCAGGGCGCTGGGCTCCCCGCCCCGGGCGCGGCTTTGTGGCGGGTCAGCCCTGCCCGGCCGCAGGCAGAGCTCCCGGGGGTCAGCCCAGGACTCACCCTCCCGGGATGGTCTGCCTCAAGTGGGCAGGTCTCAGGGGTGGACTTGCGGAGTGCCCACTTGCTCTTATTATTACCAGAGTCATAATTTGCTTTATTCAGTCATTGAAGACACACGATTCCTATCCCCTGGGGTCCAAGGGTTGCTACAGAGTGGGTTCAAAGCATTTGTTTACAGGCTAAATTCTGATGGGCAGTTCACAATGTTTTTAAAACAATATGAGACCAAAACGGAATTGCAAAAAAGAAAAAAAAAAAAAAAAAGGCAGAATTGGTAAATTGTGCTGCTTATATGATGAGAATAAAGAAAAGTGTCATTGAGTAATAAAAAACCGGAGGGATGGCGCAGTGGTTAGGAGCACGGCTGCTCTTTTCAGAGGATCCCAGTTGGGTCTCCAGCGCCCACATCAAGCAGCTACAGCCGCCTGTAACTACAGCTCCGAGGGACCCAGTACTTTAGTAATAAGGAACAGACCATAATCACAGACGATTTTTTTAAAGAGAATAGTATCTGTGGTATGTGGGGAGCTCACACCTCTAAGCTCCGGAGAGCCAGAGGCAGGGTGATCTCAAAGATAAGGTCCCACCTGGCCTACAAGTGAGTTTCAAACCAGTCACAGCTACATAGGGAGATTCTGTCTCAAAAATGCCAACAAAAAAAGGAATGGAAAAAGTCATATATCACCTTTGAAAACTATTACTATGTTCCTACCATGCTCAAACACACAATCGCCATGCGTACCACACACTATCAGCCTGAGTCAGGGCAAGCCAAATGCTCCTATTCTACTTAATATAATTTATAGGATTGAGGCATTTGGAATTTTAATTATAATTACCAGTTTTTGAAATGCATATCATGTTTATTGAGTTCTTTCACAGACTCTGGCATGAATCCAGGATGAATCATCAACCTATTGTTAGTTTGTTAATATTCTATAAATGCTTATTGGTGTTCTTAAACCATACACTCTTCTCAGAGGAGTTAAGGTCTGTATATAATAGAATAATTAAGGGATAGAGCATAGCTTAAAATAATTCACCCATCTATTTCAAATAAAGGGATAATTTTCTCTTTGGAATATCTATTCAGATTATAATTTCCACATCCAGAAGTTCCTTTTAAGAATAATTTCAACTAACAGATGTCATTGAACTGTGTGACCCAAGAGATCCAAAAGGAAATGGGGCCTCTTTTAAATGTAACGTTTATTTCTTCATGGGGTACGTGCTTGCACCAGTGCCCCTGTGGCGACCACAGGACAGGAGTCTTCCTGGGCTCCAGGGTCCAGTCCAGGTGGTCAGGTTTGGCAGCGAGTGCCTTTATCTGCTGCGCCCTCTCAAAGGCCCATAAATAAGTCTTAACCACTACCTTTCTGCAGCACTTTCAGCAAGAAAAAAACTCTTCGCTTTTAAATGAAATGGGAACTCGGGGCTAGAGAGTTGGCTGGCTTGGTGTTTAGAACCATTTGCTGCTCTTCCAGAGAGCATTCATGTAAAACAGCTCACCAGGGCGGGTGACTCCAGCTCCCAACTCTGACACGCTCTTCTGGCCTCTGCACACACATGTGCATACACACACGTTAGGAGACCAACATACACATAAATGAAATATAAAAATTAATAAGGAATAAAAAGAGAAGTGGAGAAGGTAGTTAATGATTTTTTATATCGCTGACTGAATTTCCCATCAAATTCAGAAAACTGAGTTCAACTTGGCAGGTAGGGATGGAGCTAACTAGCATCAGATAGACATAGTGAAGGATAAGCCAGGCACAGTGGCTCATGCTGTAATAAGGGAGGCAAGCAGGCACATCTCTGTGAATTCAAGGCCAGCCTGATCTACAAAGTGAGTCCAGGACAGACAGGACTACACAGAGAAATTCTGTCTCAGAAAAGAAAGAAAGAAAGAAAGAAAGAAAGAAAGAAAGAAAGAAAGAAAGAAAGAAAGGAGGGAGGGAGGGAGGGAGGGAGGGAGGGAGGGAGGAAGGAAGGAAGAAGGAAAGAAGGATAAAGGATAAAAAAAGTGATAAAGTGAATTAGATGGCTGGTGTTTCCATCAAAATCTGTGTATATAGCTGTGCTCCTTCTGGTTTTGTTGTTTGTTGTTGGTTTGTTTGAGTCAGATCTCTTGTGGTCCTGGTCCGGGCTGATGTCATGGAGGAAGGCCTTGAACTTCCTTTTCTAAATATGAATTTACTGGCCAGGTGTGGTGGTGTACGCTCTTACTCACAGCACTAGAGAGACAGAGGCGGGTGGGTCTCTGTAAATCAAGGCCAGCCTGGTCTGCCCAGTGAGTTCCAGCACAAATAGAGCTACATCCAGTGAAACCCTGTCTCGATAAAAATCCAATTAATAAGTATTTCCTTCTTGTGTATGTGTGTACGTGTTTGTGTGTTAGGGTATAGGCATGCCAATGTGGAAGACAGAGGACAAACCCAGCTCCTATACAGGTTCTGGGAATGTGGTGGTTAGAATGAGAATGGGCCCCATGGGCACATTTATTTGAACACTTGATTCTCTGAATTATTTGGGGAGGATTAGGAAGTGTGGCATCTTGGAGGAGGTGTGTCAATGGGGGTAGGCTTTGAGGTTTCAAATCTCTCCATTCCCAGTGTGCTCCCTCTCTGCTTCCTACTTGTGGATCAAGATGTGACCTCTCAGCCATCCCTGTCCTCATGCCTTTGATCCACCATTATGGACTCTAAACCTCTGACACCACAGACCTAATGAACTCTTACTTCTATAAGATGTGTTGTCACAGCAATGAAAAAAAAAAAAAAAAGTACCTAAGATAGCGATCTGAACTCAGACTTGCATAGCAAGTAAATTTTACTCCATGAGCCATCTCCATGGACAGACCTTGATTTTTTTTTTTTTGTTTGTTTTTTGAGACAGGGTTTCACTGTGTAGCCTTGGCTGTCCTGGACTGGCTTTGTAGACCAGGTTGGCCTCACAGAGATCTGCCTGCCTCTGTCTGCCTGAGTGCTTGGACCACCATGCCTGGCTGACCTTGCTGTCTCCATCTCCTAAGAGCTGGGAATTGGGGCCTTTTTATATATGCAAATGTGCATGTAGTAGTCTCTAAATTCCACATAAAGCATAACATAGTTCAGGTTCGTAAAATAAGCAAAATAAGCCTATTTAGCAAGCCCATGCAAGAAGTATAGTCAAGCTACAGAGCCAGATGGAGCAGACTTCCTTCCTAGGACGGCAGACTCTGATAATGAAACAATCTTCCTAATAGGAACAGCTATTAAGCCATGATTGAAAGCTTACTGTGCCCCAAGCACCATGCCTAGCATGTTACGTTCTTTTGCTCACTTAGTCCTAACAACAGCCATGAAATGTGTTATTATCACCTGTACTTTAAAGGTCAAGGAGCTAGGATATAAGGAAGTTAAATAATTTGTGGAAGGTTAAAGAGGTCAAATATCTACTGGGAGGTTTTTTTCATATGAAAGTAGAACATTTTTCCTTATCCTCTTTTCAGCAAGCTTTAGGAAATGGGAATTATTTTTGTTATTGGATCTAAAAACACCAAAGACTTTTTTTCTTTAGTTTGTTTTGTTTTGTTTGTTTTTTTGGAGACAGGGTTTCTCTGTGTAGCCCTGGCTGTCCTGGACTTGCTTTGTAGAACAGGCTGGCCTTGAACACACAGAGCTCTGCCTGCCTCTGCCTCCCAGAGTGCTGGGATAACAGGAGTGCACCACCACGCCCAGCTTTTTCATTAGTTTCCTAACCTTAAACACAGGCAGGTTTTCTTGTTGTCACTGTTGTTGGAATCGTGTAGCACAAGCTGTCTTTGAACACCCCATGTAGCTAAAGATGACTATAACACATCCCTAAGAAGTGATTTTTAAAGATTTTTTTTTGTTTTTATTTTTATATGCATGGATATTTTGTCTGCATATATGTCTAGGCACTACTTGCCTGCCTGGTGCCTGCAGAAGCCAGAATTTGTCAACTTGCCTGAGTCTAGAGTTATAGACAGTTGTGAGCCACCATATGGGTGCTAGAAATCAAACCTGGATCCTCTGGGAAAGCAGTTGATGCTCTTAACTGCTGAGCCATCTCTTCAAGAGTGATTTTTTATTTTTATTTTTTAAGATTTTTATTTATTATTAGCACAGTATTCTGCCTGCATGTGTACCTACACACCAGAAGAGGGCACCAGATCTCATTAGAGATGGTT